CTTAAAAGATTATTTTACACAGTAAAGATTATTTTAGCGCAATGAAAAGTGGCACTCCTGAATACTGTAGTGCTTACAAAAATGTTGCTTTGACCCTTCTTGTTTACTGTTGCTACTCGTAAGTCGATTTGTTATAGGTTATATTACAGCCTGAGCTAGTGGATGCTCCAAATACCGTAAAACTAGAAAATAAAGCGTAGCGAAATAGTTCGCTACATTTTTAAGCAGTAGCTGTAGTCAGTAGCGAACTACCTTTGTTCAAAAGTAGCAGTAGTTGTAGCTGACTACATATTTTTGAAGTAGCTGTATGTAGTTATAGCGAACTACAAAAATTGTGTAGTCAACCCACCCTTGCTTACTCCTAGCGAGCGGAGCAAGTGTTGGGCAATTATGAGAAAATACAAAATCTAATTACAGTAGCTGCACAGTTCCTACCATTTTTAAGTTAGAACCAGCCTGAAAATCGAATTAAAAAATAGAAATTCCAGGAGGAAACGAATTCTTGTGTATCCTTAATATTCCTATTCTGAAAAGAAAATCATTTATGAACTGACTATAATATTATAGAAGTCAGATTTGACTTCCATTACCGCCACCACTACTTTTCATTGTCTTAGTACATATCCGATTGGTTTATTGAATATATCAAACACATCTGATTAGTTGATCGTCTCTTAGTGGTAGCGGTAGTGGAAGTCAAATCTGAACCTGTACAGTATAATGTATTGACGGTAATATACTAATATACCGCAAATTGCACATACCTTCCACATGTCCCAACTTATCAACAATTTCATCAACATTGATATTATTAATGTCGTTTGGTACATACTGAATACTACCATCATTCACTGCGGCCAAATTCTCTGGTTGTTGATTGCTCAACTTCTCAATTTCTCATCAATCAATTTTTGTGATGATAGCATTTCTTCAATGCTTCCTCTGTTCAGGAGATTTTTTGGCAAAGAAACTGAAGCTTGGACTTTATCAAGATAATCTTTCATTTCATGATGTTGTTTGCTCAGTTCACTGTGTAATTCACCATAAACCTTGTCCACTTCCTCATTCATTTTCTCTGCTCTCTCATCAAGTTTTTCTGCCACAATCTTCAAGATATTTTTCTTTTGTTCTTTGATTTGATCTTTAGCCGTTTTAGCATTCTTTTCAAGAGACTCCATCACTTCAGAAATGTTGTTTAACGCTTCCTTTCCTTCAGCTAATTTCTCATCAAATGTTGAGCAGCTTGATTGCAATGTTCCTCTTTGCTTCTGTGCGATCTCACAAACTGCCACACACGAGTGGTTTTGTTTCTGGTGATTTAACAACAGGCAAAGCATACAACAAAGTTCCTTGCATGTTTCACAATATATTTCAA